TGATTTGATCCCTAAATCATTGATTCACTTATGTCTCAATTTTTTATCTTTTTTATTTTTATTTTATTTTATTGTTCCTGTCATTCGTCCACCTGCATTCTTTTTGTAAAATGTAAATAAAAGAAGGGCGGGCTGGAGGACCGACGAAGGGGAGAAAAAGTTGCAGGCCCACAAGCTTGCCGGCGTCTTTGGCACTGAGATTCAAAGAAACAGAGTAAGCAAGCATGACTTTTATTCTGAGCACTCCTAATTTCAGTGTTGAAGTCAAATCAAAAAAACACTGAATCTGTACTGTACCTCCCTTGCGCAGCACACCCTGCTCTCACGCACACATACCATGAGAACAACCTGCTCTTTCTCTTTAACACGTCGCTTCCAGGTCCTGATTCAATAGTCCCTCCACTTTCTTCAATACCCACGAAACTGACTCTTTCTGGTTCTCGGAGTTCAAATATGCGACATAGCATCGATCACTCTTTCCACTATGCAAAATTCTGTCGAGCCATTTTTCCCGATTGTTCATTTATGGAGGAATTTAATTTCTCCATGAGGAAGAAGAGGATGATGGCCTCTAGGCGAAGATGCTGCAGGAAGCAAGGTCCGATGTGGAACGAGCGAGAGCCGATTCTTTCTTCCTATTACCATGTTTCGATTCAAGTATTTTGCTCACATGGCTTCTTCGTCGGTCTCTTCCTCTCTAGACTGCATGTTTTCAGACTGAAAGCCATCATCCTCTTATTACCCAAAAAAAGGGGGGCTTGTTTCTTACATAATGCCAACTATAAAGTCATCATCAGCTTGGAGCATCTAGAAGAGGAAATGCCAGAGCAAAAAGAAGAAGATAATGGCGTCTATCGCTTTTACCACAGAACCCATTTCCCGGAGAAACAAGCCAACTCTGTCCTCCGGTCTCTGACCGTGTGTAGGATGCAGATCGCGGGCGTTGGGTTCTTATGAAGTGAAGTGTGAAGGGACACGTGGCTTTTCATGATAGCTCTCATGACTTGTTTGCTTCGGTGGCATTACAGCGCTGGAAGACGATGGGAGAGAGAGAAAGAGAGCCCCTCTCTCCCCTATGATGTTTCAGATGAAGCCAGTGATTTTGTCAATGTTTTAGATATTCTGTAGAGGATTGACGCATCGATAACTTTGCTGACGAATTAAATATCTTTTGCAAGTCCCATTTCATAAGGTTTGAGCATTAAAAATTTTGTTGGCAAAACCAAAAGATAGTGATGTTACCAACACGTTATTACATATTACTGCCATTAGGGCTCCAAACAATAATCATACACACACACACATATTATATCACTTCTCTACATGTGAATCGAAAGTAAACTCCTCGAGTCAGACACACACATCTAGTTTGATTTTGAACTTTGAAGGTCCAATTTGCAAAAATATTAAGCAGATCTCTTGCTTCTCTCCATATTTCCCTACATGCATTAATTTGTCGAAAACTGGTAAGAAAAGTGCGTTATTTGGCTGAGGATGTAAGGATTAAAGAACACGGCTCTAACAAAGTACTATCTCCGATCCTTAATATAAGATCTTGTTTGACTTTTATTTTGATCCTAAATATAAGACCCAAATCTACTTTGTCTCTCATATTTACTCAATTTTTTCTAAGATAGTCCTTCTAATAATTATAGTCCTAGTTAATACACTTGATTGGCAAAGATATTTTAGAAAAGACAACATCTATTTAAGACAAATAACTAACTCAAATTACTTTCTTAATCTCCTCAAATTAGTCAACTGGCTCTTATAATTAGGACCGGAGGTAGTAACATATAGTTATTAATTAGTTAAGAACCATATTTCAACGTAGTAAAAAGGCAGATAAAGAAGAAAGATGCTAAAAGAATAATAAAGAGAGAATTAGTACCCCACATGGAGAAAACCTTTAATTTTTTCCCACGAAATTGTCAACTTTATCATCCTCGCGCTTGCCCTTTTTCTTTTGTTAACAGTCTCCTTCTCCTAATTTGCCTTCCGATATTTTTCATAAGATTTGAGCATTAAAAATTTTATTGTCAAAACCAAAAGGTAGTGGTGTTACCAACCCATTTCATTACATATTACTGTCATTAGAGTTCCAAAGAATAATCATATACTCCTCTGATCTTAAATATAAAACCTATTATGTAGTGTAATATTTAAGACCTATTCTGAAGTGTAAATTACACTACAGAATAGGTCTTATATTTAAGACCGGAGGGAGTATATATGTATATTATATTATCTCTGTACATGTTAATTGAAAGTAAACTCCTCGAGTCAGACACACACATATAGTTTGAACTTTGAATGTCCAATTAGCAGAAATATTAAATAGTCTCTGGCTTCTCTCCGTATTTCCCCGCATGCATTAATTTGTCGAAAACTGGTAAGAAAAGTTCTTTTCAACGCTGAGGATGTTAGGATCAAAGAACGCGGCTCCAACAAAGTGACATATAGCTAATGAGTTAAGAAAGAACCATATTTCAACGTGGTAAAGAGGCGGATAAAGGAGAAAGATGCTAGAAGAATAATAAAGAAAGAATTAGGACCCCACGCGGAGAAACCTTTAATTTTTGGGAAATTTCACTTAAGTCCCATGGAAGGGACTTTATTGAAAGTAAGGCCCAAAACATTCTAAAATATCAATGGAGTCTTTAAAGTTTAAATGAAATTAAATTAAAGTTGCCCTTAATATTTGCAAAGAAGAAAGGGGATCCTATAGGGCATAATCATCGTGTTTCTTCATGTCTGCATATTCTTAGTTCAAATAATAACAAAATAACAACTCAAAATATAAAAATTTATAAATCAATTTACAAGTGCTTAGATAAGTTACAACTGGGGATACAAATTTTAGAATTAAGGAAGAGAAAAATAATAATTCTACGTATAAAAATTTATAACTCAATTTATAAGTACTTAAATAAGTTGAGGATACAAATTTTAACAATAAAGAATAGAAAAATAACAACTTTACATATAAAAATTTACAATAAATAATTAAAAATAATAATTCAACATATACAAATTTACAATAAAAAAAAATAACAACTCTAGATATAAAATTTACAACTCAATTTACAAGTGTTTAGGAAAATTACAAGTAGGGATACAAATTTTAACAATAAAGAACTAAAAACATAACAACTTTACATATAACAATTTGTAATTCAATTTACAAATATTCAAGTCAGGTACAAATGAGAATAGAAATTTTAACAACAAAGAATTAGAAAAATAACAATTTTGCGCATAAAAATTTACAACAAAAATAGCAGCATAATGTACAATTTTACATAGGAAAATTTACAACTTAATTTACAAGTAGGAATGGATTTTTCTTATCCACTATAGATGCTGAAATTGTCCATGGACATCCATGTACCATGCACAATCCAATCATGATGCTTGTTTGAAGTTTTTTCCTTGTCTCACCAACATATACATAATGATTGCTATTGTTGTACTCAATTATTTTTTTGGATTTCTCCATCCGGTATCCCAGGGCAATAGGCGTCTTTCAGCCGTGACAGCTGTCCCAGACTAATCTGGATCGAAGACTTGCAAGGAACCTTTCGGTCGGCGCCCTCTGACCCCTCAGGGTGTTACGTTCCCACGGCTCGAACTCGAGACCCGTGGTTAAGCTAGGACAGCCCTAGCCAGCTGACCTAAGCCCTCAGGGTTGTTGTACTCAATTATTAGTTGTGCTACTCCAGTATCATCTTCAATATATAATAGTGCCTCTCTAACATAACTGAGTGTGTGCTTCATATCAAATCCGCCACTTTCATATCACATATTTGTTGCCACAAGACTTCTTAATTCTTTATATGTCATTTCTTTTATTATCAATCTTTCAATTATAATCTTGTCTTCGTATATCATTTTCCTATATAAAGTATTTGCATATTTTTCCTACACGAAAAATGCAAAGTTGTTGCTTTTCATAACTGTTAGTCAGATACCATGCGTATTTGCGATTCATAATTATATAAATGTCAATTGCTTAGCAAAATTGAAACAATTTGTAAATTTACAACACCAGATTAGCATTTCCACAACACATTATGGATAAATCGTTTTAATATCATCAAACTGCAAACCAGATAACTTTTTCAACAGCTAGTGCTACCCATATGCCATGTGTCTCAGCACTTCATTATTATGTGAATTTCAATTACTTAGCAAAGCTTAAATAAACTATCAATTTACAACTACAATTAGCATATTCACAACATAAAATTAGTATTTTCACAACTTGAATTCTGAGCAAGTAAGTTTAATGCCATCAATATCCGCCATCTTTACCGATTTGTTCAGACTATAGAAACTGGCTAATATACCCATTGTAATGTAACTCATGCCTTCCAGGCTTCCACACCCATATCCCCACACTGTCTACCCATCACAAGCTACAACTCTTCAGCAGTTTAGATGGAGAAGAAAGAGCTTTTAAAACCCAAGTTCAGAATTTTCCTCAAGCACAGCACAATTTCCTATTGGTGGCAAGGCTCAACCAAGTCGCCACTGGAGTTCCCACATTGGTGCTATTTCAGACTTCATACAACACTCTAATTCATACTACCTTAAATGATTGCAGAATGAGAATCATAAGCCACCACATTATTCACCATCGCATCAAGTTGGAGAAATGGCAGAGAGTATGTTGAGTTGCATTTCAAGCACTCATGCTTCTTCTTTTGTCTCCTTTATTCTTTCTTTCAACCAAAGGCATTTCTGTAAAAAGGCATATCATATTAATTTCATTATGGGATAAAAAGACTGATTTGAAATTTCAGGATCTTTTGAGACTTTTTGTTTATTAAGTTCAGATTGTGGACCTTACGTGAAATTTTCCCTTAATTTTTTTCCACGAAACTGTTAACTCTCCATCCTCGCGCTTTCCCTTTTTCTTGTGTTAACAGTCTTCTCCTAATTTGCCTTCCAATATTCTTCACGAACTTGTACCTAATGCTCTCGATTTCAAAACTGCAATGCTTATTAAAATCTCAAAACGCATCCTCATTCATCCGATGTTCTGGAGAATTCTGGGCTTTGTGTCAAGCATAGTTGCATTTACATGCTTTGCCCAGAGCCCCTCTTTCTATGACTCGTTTGGCAGGTGGAATCTGTTCAAAAGCGCCATCTATAGCGTCATTAGTTTGGGCCTAACCACCATGATGCTATTTATCAAGAAATGCGAGAGATTTACAAGATCAGTTCTGGTCAAAGCACAGGTGGGTTTTCTGGTTTTGATGCTCACGTCTCTCTGTTCCATCTGGCAAGACCAAGTTAGCCAAAAGGAGAACGAGGAAACGGGATCCCGTGGGAAAATCCTGAACATGTGTTCCTTTGGGGCATTTGCGTTCATGACACTGAGCTTCTCAAGACAGCTTCAGCTTGGTTTCGAAGTGGGTATCTCCAACTTCTTATTTGGGAGTTTCTTGGTGCTGCTAATGAAGATGAACTTCAAATTTATCCCACTTGCAGCATTTTGTTGTTACGTGTTTATACATATCCAGTCCTTCTCAGATCTTTTCAAGAAAATGCGTGGGCGAGTCCACACTAGTGACCCAGTACCTGAAGATATAGAGAGTGGTAACCATGGCATTGATTTGCAAAGAATGAATAAAATTGAATTCAATCCTCACAGCTTTTCTTTTTCCTTCCTATAGTTCCTTGACAAGTGACTCTGTTATTTTTTTTTTTTTGCCCCTCTTATCTATTTGATAGTAATAGGTAAATAGTACGTACTATGATTGAATTGCCCAGAGAACAGGAGTGGTCTGAACCTAGTTAGATAAGATCTTTTTGACTTTTTGTGCCTTCAAATATTCTATAACTACTGAATTGTTTATTATTTTAAACAGGTGTTTCAGAACATTGTATGCACAAAAATCGGTTAAAAGAGCATGCTGAAAGACGCCACATTCCACTTCCCACTTATCAAGCTGTGAATGTTGGACTGGCCCATCGCCCACAATTTAGGTCAGCAGTGTCGATTGATGGAAAGAGCTATATTTCGGAAAATCTTTTTCCCAAACTAAAGGCTGCTGAGCAAGATGTAGCAAGACTTGCTTTAAAGCACATAACAGAAGGGGTCAAAGATGAAGGCCTTTCTCTGATTCTCGAGGTTTGTTAGCATGGGATTGTCGTTTCATGATTTTATCATTTATATATTGCCATGACATCGTAGTCCACACCACATTGCGTAGAAACTAAGCTGTGCTATGCATTCTTAAGGTTGTTTCTGCTAATTTAGTTTGGCAGCATTATTGAATTCAGTCCTTTGCATTAATTTCAGATTATTGGTTAGTAATAGTCTCTGGTTTTGCATTTAATATCATGAAGCCTAAGGTTACTACTTCTCCTTGTGATCATATTCCAGAGACCAACTTCTTTCAAGTCTATCTTAAATCACTATGCAAAGAAGATGAACCTTGTAATTCCTCCATACGACACGGTTCAACAGGAAGGGGATGCCGGGTATTTATCGTCTTTCATTTTCAATGGTAAGCGCCATGCAGGTGATCCAGCCAAAAACAAAAAGGACGCCGAGCAATCCGCAGCTTGTGCTGCTGTTCTTTCAAATCTGGAAAGCTTCCTTCTTTAAGTAAATACTTATTTCCAAATCTTGTATTTGTCTATAACTATAGGTGACCGATTCATTAGTTTTTTTTTCCCTCTCTTTTAAATGCAGGCAATTCCAGGTTTGATGCTTCTTTCTGAGATAATGAAGTCATAATTCGAATTCTGTATCACCCATAGCAAGACTCTAAACTTCAAATGTGTCTGTGGAAGCAGTTCAACAACAGCATAATAGTTCAGATTTGGAAAAGAAAAAACAGAGAAGAAGAAGGAGAAAGACTCTAAGGAGAAGTATCGGAGAAAAGCTCGGTACTTTTAGGCTTCTTGATACATGAACTCTGTATGTTACCAACTTTTTTCTTACATGGACCCTATGCTCTCAACTGGGTCTTCTGTAAAGAAAAGTATTAATAAAAATAACAAGGATTGCAAGATGAGAGCAACTCAAGGAGGGCATCGCATATTCCATATCAAAGGATAAGACTAGTGTTTCAGAAGTTTGGATTCAAACAGATTGCTTGAGACTTACACTGGAAACTATATGCCTATTTGAGATAGCGGTAGAATTTCTTTATAAACACGTTTCACGTAAGTCGAGACAAAATTTCTCTTATATATTTGTCTCGTATTCTATAAATCACTATTGAAAAGCTACTTATAAAGTGTTTCAAACAGGCCTTATGTCTTTAAAGGATTGATGCCCAACATGGACATTGCAATTTGTTTATTTGTATTTATTTCATCCTGCACCAACGTCCAGGATAAGGCTGTATCAGGAAAAATATAGAAAAGAAAAATTAGTTACAGTTTTTTTTTTCCCATCATTGTTCTGTAACTTTAGCTATATTATTATTTGTCATTGAAAATTTGACAAATAATAATCTTTTCTTTTGTTTTTCAGGTCAAATCACCCTCAAGTTTGGTGATTTTTAAATATAAATATCACGTGAGTTTTTTTTTCATTTGATAATGAACTTCTTAATACTTTCAAATTTATACATGCAACTTCTATTATTAACATATTATCTTTCTAATTATTTGCTGCTCCCTAGTCCTATTTATAAACTTCAGTAGTGTCCTATTTATAAACTTTAAGAGTATGTTCTATTTTATAAGTTTTAATTTAAGTTTATTTTGAAATTTAATGCATTTTTTAATTTTACTTTTCATTATTTATTCTTTCTTATTTTTCACACTCTCTCACATTACATTTTTCTATACATTTTTATTTATCTTTTTTTATTTATATTTAGAAAAAATATATATTTGGTTATTGAAGATTTGTCCTTAAGATGCAACTGACTTCTTGTTTTGACGTAGATGTATTGGGTTGGGTGTTCATATTGATGATGCAATTATGTATAGAACGACTTCAAAATATTACTTCCGTTACTTTATTTTCAATTTAGTTTTAAATATAAGATTTTAATTTATTTTATTTTTAATATTTATTTATTTTGTCTTTAAGTAATTCTTACAATAGTTACATATATGTTAAGGAGTTATTATTAACAAATAATTCAAACATATATGATTAATAAGAGTTTTTTTAAAAAAAATCTATTACTATAAATAACTAATTTAATTAATTTTTTAATATTTTTAAATTAATCAATTAAGTTTTATTTTACTAGCAATACAGAATTCAATTTATCGATTAACTTTCAAAAGTAAATTTGAATATTTTAAACTAAAATTTAAATAATTAAAGCGTGTGTGGGCCCGTGAACTGCGCGTGAAGTAAGACCCTTTTGCTTTAACTTGGGGTAGGTATGGTAAACAAAAATGAATCAAATTGTTTTTTTTTTTTTTGGGCGGGGGGGGGATGTAAATTAAGGGATTTTCAAACTCATGAACGTAGCTACCTAGTACCCCACACGGAAAGCCTCTTTCCAAGAAACTGTGATGAACTCCTCATCCTGGCTCTTTCCTTTTGGCTTTTTCTCGTGTAAACATTCTTCTCCTCCTTAAATTGCCTTCCAATATCCTTCGTCAACTTGCGCCTAATCCTCTGGATCTCAAAATGCAAATAATAATTAAAATCTCAAAACTCATCCTCATTCATCCAATGTTCTGGAGAATTCTGGGCTTTGTGTCGAGCATAGCTGCATTCACCTGTTTTGCCTTGAGTCCCTCTTTCTATGACTTGTCTGGGAGGTGGAACCTGCTCAAAGGCGTCGTCTACGGTGTCGCTAGTTTGATCCTAACCATCTTGATGCTACTTATCGAGAAATGCAGGAGATTTTCAAGGCCAGTTCTGGTGAAAGCACATGTGGCTTTCCTGGTTTTGATGCTCACCTCCCTCTGTTCCATCTGGCAAGACCGAGTTAGCCAAAAGGAGAACAACGCGCGTGGCAGAATCCTAAACCTCTGTTCGTTTGGGGCATTTGGGTTGATGTCGCTCAGCTTGTCAAGACAGCTTCAGCTTGGATTCGAAGTGGGTATCTTCAATTTCTTGTTTGGGAGTTTCTTGGTGCTGCTGATGAAGATCAACTTCAAACTGGCCCCACTTGCAGCAATCTTGTGCTACGTCTTTACAAATATCCGATCCTTCTCAGATTTTTTCATGGAAACCCGTGGCCGTGCTGACTTTAATGACACGCTACTTGAAGATATGGAGATCGGTTCCGCATCTTACATTCCTTCTCACAAAACCTCCAACAAGAGCCAGATATCCTATGGCGACTTGATAACGCTCCATTTTTAGCTCATTTTGAGTGATAGTTGGAGAGTTGAGATCTTGTGTTATGGGTACATGAGAAATAAAATCATAATTTTACCTTTTTCTTATTTTATTTTACTGTTATTATTTTTGGGAAAAAAGACACTAAAATACTCTAAAAAATGTTAAAAGATAAATTAGGGTTAATGAATTTTAAAATCTTAAATCAGACTCCTTGTACCATTTTGAAATTTTGAAATATTATAAAATGACAACATTATCTTTATTCGTAGTGATTACTTTCATGTAGTTATTGACTACTTTTAATTTAATTATTGACTACTTTAGTTTTTAAAGTTATAATGATTACTTTTATATAACTATTGATTACACAAAAGTAGTAAATAACTAAATAAAAAATAGTCACTAGATCTCCAACAACACTTAATATATTTTTTTAATTTCTGAAACAATAGTAATCAAAAGCAAAACTAGAATAGTCAATAGCTAAACAAGAGTAGTTATTAAATTTTTAAAAATAAAAATAGTCAATCACAATACTAGAATGGTTAATAATTAAAGCAAAGTAGTCATTGGAATTCTAAAAATAAATATAGTCAATAGCTAAAAAAATAGTCAATTCATATAAAAAAAAAGTAGTCATCAAAATTTCGGTGACCGGTCATTGCAGTTCCAGTGACTCCAGCTGCAAGCCACCAGCACCAGAGCTTCGGTGGTTAGAACTAGCTAAGGGTGTTGATGTGGCCTTTTTTTTTTAAAAAAAAGTGAAGAGCATTTATGTAATTTTGCAATATTTGAAAATTCTAAAGTAATACTGGGGGACTCTCAAGCATTTTTTTTAGAAGTATTTTTGAAGTAATCAAATGCCTTTTAGTCTCGTTTGATACGAAGCATTAACATTTAAAAATGAGGAGTAAAGATTAGGATTGAGATTAAAACTATGTACCCAAAAAATGTTTATCATGAGTGATTTCTTATTTTGTGGGATTAAACAATCTTATGTATATAGGATTGAAGAATACCACCTCCTCTCATGGTATTTTCCAATCTTATATATATAGATTTGTCTAATTCTAAGTATCAACAGTTACTCATGCTAAATACTCTTTTAATAAAATCTTTCACTTTCAATTATGATCATTATCTATTTTCAATATTTCATACTAAACGGAACTTATAAAACAGTAGTAGCCAACCTAAGGAGCTGCGAGACGCAAACACGTTTTGAAACTCTCAAGTGGACTCTTTATATCCATACGCGCACACATTTGCATTCGGTATTTTGATAAAATCTTTTTGTTCGTTCTATTTTAAGTTCATTTTACTCATTTTAAATTCAGTTGCGTTTTGCTCACTTTAAAGAAAAGTGGAAATCTAATGCCTAACAACTGATTAATTGAGTCTTTTTGTGGGATCAGTCTTGATTTACTATTAACTATTTTTGCGGTCCATATACTAACCATGAGCATCAATTTTTGGTAGCATGAGAATTGAATCCTGAAATCGAATTGCTCCAGTGGTCTGATTCTCAAATCTCATAGGAGCAGGATTGATATGTAAACTCGTTAAATAAGATCTTTCTGTGCCTTCAAAATTTTTAATAGGTAGTGCATTGTTCATCTGTTTTCTCGACAAATGTCCCAGAACATTCTATGAACAAAAATAAGTCAGGAGTGATGCAGAATGGCCCTTCATACAACTCCCCACTCAGCAGGCAATGAGAGAGGCTAAAGAGAAGTGGTAAAGCTCTGCACTGTTAG